CGGGGAGCGCGCGGGGAGCGCGCTTCCGAGAGGAAGTCATGGTGTCCTTGGCTGTAGTTCAAGGTAGTAATATACTACATTTGCGCTTTTACAAGCATTTATGTGTGTGTTTTTTCTACTGATGACTAACTCTAATTATGAATCTCTCTTTGAAACCTGCAGTGAAAAACAAGCTCGTTTGCAGCTCAGTGAGAGAACAGGTGTTTTATGTGATACATTACTCCATGAAGTGTCTCAGAGGAGTTACGTTCTTGTTTAGAGAATAAATATGCCCCCCTGTCTTTTGGATGTGGACAACAGAATAATTTAATGCAGATTTTATAGGGAAATTGGTACCTGATGAGCACTAAGAGTAAGAGCCACAGAGCATCCTTCTTACAATGTGTATCTAAGCCCCTTACAGATCACTAGCTGCAACTAAAGCCACAGCTAAGCCTAAGTTAAAATGCTTCGTCCCTAAGGTAAAATGCCAGCTTACCACTGCTTCCCAGCACTTTTCACAATCAGTGCTTCCTTATTCCTGAAGGCCTCCTTCTGTGGCCTGGCCACATTATCTGCATCGATTCCCTTGTTCAAATGTTCATAAAGCTTTGGTGCACCTTGAGGGCTGTATAAATAGGTCACAGCTGTAGGTTTTGTCTGTGGTCATAGCATAAGACCATAAAAGTCACTGGAAATACCTTGAATTCCCTACTGCTGCAGAGCAGAGAAGGGCAACACAATATAGTTTTGACAACAAAATATGAAAATTCCATATATACCATATCTGTCAAAACAGAATGCCAATTCTGTAATATCAGTTGTTTTCCCAATCTTTAGAATTAAATCTTCACCTCTGTTAGAAAATAAATTATCAAAGCTCACAAGCACATTTGAAAATGTTCTTATGTGATCTGATTTCTGTGCTCACATTTTCTTGCCCAAAATCTCAGTTTTCTTGATGAAGCACTAGCATACCATGACAGGGAGGAGGAGATGCTAAGAAGTTCTCTTCCTCTTCTAAGATTTTAAGAGAGGCAGCAGGTCACAAGTTTCTATAGCACACTTAAGCTATTTCCCCATTACCTGATATAGTAGCAGCACCCAGCCACATGGAATGTGCTTGAAGCAGTATCCATATTATTCCTGACTGACTTCAAGAAACCAGTTCCTTGAGTACATGCATTTAAATTAAAACAAAAAATCATTCCTTGCAGTATTGTTATTGTAACACTATTTGATAATATATATTTTAAGAAGCTGTAACTTTGTACAGGAGACACCTGATTTCGGTGACTACAAATGAAATCCTTTTGATTTCTGCAAGCATTTAAAATTGAATGTTAAACTGAAAGAGATCACATGCAGAGGATAATTTTATTTTTTCATCATCTCTCAAAACTCAATTTAAATAAAGGGAGTTTCCCCCTTTTTCAATGTTGTTTTAAGTTATTTATAATTTTTTTCTTTTCTTCATCATTTCCACATTTTAGTGATGATGCACACTTACTTTCTGAATTTCTTGTCTATGTTGAAATCTGTAATATTTCCTTATATATTACTGGAGTAGTCATGCCTGTCTTAGGGACAGACAGCCCTGTGATATTCCTTAGAATGAATGTAGTCATCAAATAATGATGGTGCTTTTAAAATTAATATGCGTTATACAACCAATAGATTTTTTTACAACACAGAATGCTAAATTAATATTAAATATGTAATTTGTTACATTAAATTGAAGTAGGTAATTCAAAAGCATCCCTACACAGAAGTCCTGTTTTTCATCAGTTTATACAAAAACATCTACTGCAATTCATTACTTGGCTGCAATTACTCAATGCTAGAATTGCACAGACAATTGAGTACACTATAGCTACTTTACTTATTTGATCTCTGATTTCACAAAGTTTCAGTGATGCATAATACAATAGTAATAATAATAATAATAATAACAATAATAATAATAATAATAATAATAATAACAGTGAAACCACCATTATTACTAGGACCATAACTGTAATTGCAATCTAATAAGTGAAAAGTAATGGGGTTTATCAGGTGGTACAACCTGTTTCCAAGGGAGAAGAGTGCATTGCAATATTTAATATGATAGCGCCACTCAGTGCTCAAAGTGGATATGGCTTTGTAATCAGTACATACCTCAACAGCTGCACTGCCACCTGAAGAAAAACAGTGATGACACTATTTATAATCTCATTAATCCTATATATGAGAGAAGTAAAGCATGGATACAAACGTTCTGAATATAAAGATATTGTAAGAAAAATGTCTAATACCTATCCTGGTATAAATGATCCATATGGAAGAATTTACAGGATGGTAATCACTGCAGTTTGTTAACAGCATCTTTTCTCCAAAAGCTAAGACACAATTTTTGGCATGTTTAGTCCTCTAGTTCCTTTTCTACTTAGCTACTTACAATAGATCATCCTGAAGAACAGAACACCCTCTGCCCATGCTTCCCACTGAAGAACATTATACCATGTAATCTGCTAACTTTTTATTCATGAACATGATCAGCAAGGAGACTGTCAATAATTGGTTTCAGAATGTCTTGGCTTGGCATTTGGCCATGTTGAAGTCACAGCGCTTGTATTAATGTCATGGTCTCATCACAAGGATTGGATATCTGGTAAATTAAAATGATTCTATTTTCCTCTCCAACAATCCTTTTTTCTGTCAGTAATGAAATATTGCTGTCTCAGGAGTGCTTCACTGATGTCTCTGCAGTGCTCCAAGATCAGCAGCTTCCTCAATAGTCCAAAAAAAAATTTCATTTCCATTTTTTAACATGTATTTATTTTAATCTTCCTTTCCTCTTAATTAGTAGCTTTAATTTTTTCTATTAAAATTGTACCACCAGACTTCATTACTGATATTGTCCAGTTAGGTGTTTCTTTCTGGCATTATGTTGTCCATCTTCTCCTGACTTTCCTTTACCATATATTATGTATTTTAAGATAAGCCATTTGCAAGATGTTTCTCAATGAAATGAGTCAATATTATCATAGACAATATATGTCCCAAAATACATGGTATGTAGGTAATTAGCCATGAAGCCAAAAACATGGTGTTCTGAAGTGCTGTTTCACCCAGCTGCTTATTAATGGCAGAAAGGAATGGGTTGCTCCATGTGATTCCTCTGCTCCTCCATAGAATATTTACCACTGGCTTGAACTAAAGAAATAGTGGACTGTTATCAGTGACGTATTAAGATATTTTAAAATCTGCTAATGAATTAGAATGTGGCCATGAAATTCTCTAACTGTAAAAAACAAAAAAAAATGAAAAAATAAGCAGCAGTCAAAATTTCCAATTACAAATTTTCCTGTAGTACACCCATTCCAAAGCAACACAGAAGCAGTATCTGAAAGGTCTCACTGGCTGCAGTGTCAGTGGCCTCAGAGGATGCACAGAAAACACTGTTTCAAGACAAAGGTTTGAATTAAGAGAATCAATGTACTGCTCCTTCACCTGCCCACCAATAGTGGTCTCCAGCTTCCTGCTCAAGAACATGCCTATTGGTTTATCTGTCTTATTTTACTGGAATTGCCACATCTTGTTTACAGAAGGCTGAATTGAACTTCTTGACTTCTTGTTGACTATAGGAAATTTTAAAGAGAATGAGTATTTTGAAACATCTTTTCTATTGCTTAGTGTTTAATTTCAATATAAGTGACAAAGCCAACACTGTAGAGAGATCAGACTAAGGATTTAGTGCAAAACATCACTGGATAGCTTGATGCTTGCAACATTTGATTATTGATTTTACTTTTGAAACACATTATTTTGCCATTTCACAGTAGAACAAGATGAGGCAAAGTGGATGGAAAAACGTATTTTGCAGAAGAATGTATTTTGTTTAAACCTTTTGTTTGGGTAAGCAATTCATTTGCACACTAATATCTAAACAATTATGTTAAATTTTTAATATTAATAGAAATATTAATACAGTATTTCAGTATCATAGCTGATTAGTTTGTCTAAATTTTTAATATTAATAGAAATATTAATACAGTATTTCAGTATCATAGCTGATTAGTTTGTCCTTAAGGCAAGCATCAAATCTCACACCTGGATATGACGTGGATTTTGCATGTATCTTTCCAGTCACATTATCCTGATATGTCCAGAAGAAAAATCTGCTTTTTTTGCTGTGAATGTCTGTGACATCTGTTACCTCTGAGAGGATGGAATATACAAGACCAGAAAACTGTGGTCAGATGAAAAATATTATCAGCATTTTAATTGCCATTTTATAAGCACTTTTAGAGTAGAAAGAAAACAAAGAAATGCTAATAAATTAATATTGAAAATTAACATGGGTGGGGATTAGGTGCTTTTCAAAATTTTTTATTTAAATCGTCTTAACCTAACCATTCATATTTACTGTCTTTTTCCTTATATTTTGACAAATTTTTGTCTCCACCAGTTTTAACTGTACTTGCACAATTTATACCTGAAATTGAAAGAGAAATTTAATTGTCATTGAAATCAAAAGCAAAACTTCCATGGAGAGATTTTCAAAGGACCGTACTATGAAGAAACAAAGTGTTTACTTCAATGAAAGTCCCTGTTTTCTAAATTAAACGTTTTGTTACTTGTCTGCCTGCTGTAGTTATTGTGCCCACCGTGCTGTTTTGTAAAATAAACCAAGTCTACTAAGCCCACTAAAAAGCCTTGGAATCACCAGGACTGTGTGGAGTGTGTGCTCACAGTCTCCGTAAGAGGGCACCCTCACCTAACAGCAGAATCTATTTTAAGACACGCCTGTCTAAAAAGATTTAGGAGGGAAGAAAATCCTCTGGAGAGTATAGTGAGAGAAAAAGTTACTAACTGCCCCATCCCTGGCAGTGTTCAAGGCCAGGTTCGATGTGGCTTTGACCTGGTCTAGTGGGAGGTGTCCCTGCCCATGGCAGAGGGGTTGGGAACTATATGATCTTAAAGGTCCCTTCCAATGCAAACCATTCTACAATTCTATGGCACTATGAAAAGTATTTACCAGCATTTTCTATACATAACACTGAAGGTAAGATAAGATGCACCATTCCTTTGTAGCAAACCAGTAAACACATTGCCAAGTCCACTACGGATCACAGAACAGGTAAGACTGGAAGGGACCACTGGAGGTCATCTCCTCCTGTAGTCAGCCTGCCTGCTCAAGCTGGGTGCCCCAGAGCACACTACTGGGACTGTGGTAGCTTGTAGACAGCTTTTGAGTGTCTCTAGAGAAGGAGACTCCACAGCCTCTCTGGGCAACCTGTTCCAGTGCCCAGGCACCCTCACAATGAAGTTCTTCCCTGTGTTCATGTGGAACTTTCTGTGCATCAGTTTCTGTCCTCTGCCCCCTGTCCAGGATCCATCCTCCTGAGAGCCTCCCTTCAGACATTCACTGACACTGATGGGGTCCCCTCTGAGTCCTGTCCAGGCTGAACAGGCCCAGCTCCCTCAGCCTTTCCTTGGGAGTGAGGTGTCCCAGACCCCTGCTCACCTTCGTAGCCCTTTGCTGGACCCGCTCCAGAACCCCCACGTCCCTCTGGTCCTGAGGAGCCCAGAACTGGACACAGCACTTCAGATGTGCCTCACCAGGGCAGAGCAGAGGGGCAGGATCACTGCTCTTCAACTGCTGGCAGTGCTCTTCCTAATGCACCCCAGGACACTCATGATCTCTTGGCCACTGCTGGCTCATGGACACCTCAGTGTCCACCAGGACCTCCAGGTCCTTCTCTGCAGAGCTGCTTGCCAGCAGGTCAGCCCCGAGCCCGTACTGTTGTGTGGAGTTATTCCTCCCAAGATGAAGGCCCTGCATTTGCTTTTGTTGAATTTCAAAAGGTTCTACTGTTTTTTCTGATTTTTTTAATCTGTAGTTAAAAGAGATCTACGTAGGTACTACATTCATTGTTTCTTTCCTTAAAATGATGTCTGATTTGTAGCCATTGCCTTGTCTATTTCCCTGTACATTTAGAATCTGATCTTATTTCAGATGCAGTTTCACTGAGGAGTACATGATTACTCCTGATTTATGTAGTGTAGCTTACTTTTGATAAGACACTTCAGCCATTCCTATGAAATACCAAGGGGAACCTCTCTTAATCACTCCCTGATTCACTTCTGTTGAATAGCAGTAGTTCAAAGAAACACATCAGTGATTTAAGAAGAAAATGAAAAAATTGACAGTCATTTCCATGCTTTAAGTCACAGACAATTAACAGAAGAGAAAACTTTAAACATACTATGTGAATAGAATAGTAAATGTACTGAAAATTTTTTTACATAAGAATGAAGTTCAACAACTCGATCTTGAACTGTTAATTAATTTTTAACCATAAATTTTAGTGTCAGAGATTATTTTGTACTGTTTATAGAAGATGCAGCTTGTCTCTGATGAATTTTAGGAATAGAATTACCAATTTTTTGTGGAAAATTATTTTCACCCAAGCTAATATCCTATTAAGGATTATTGATTCCAATAGCTGCCATTTGCTGTCAGAAAATACGTCAAATGAAAGGAATTTCATGTCCTGATGTGTTAAGCTGAGTAATAGCTTCTTTAGATGCCTTTTTTTACCTTTTCTAACTTTTTTTTTTTTAACAGAGTACTGTTAATTACTTTTCTGTGTCTCAATATTTATTTAGCCTGATTTCTCTTCCACATTCCCCTCTCACTAGACCAAGGTGCACACGGTTATTTTAAATGACCCAAAATAAATATAACTGAAAATTAGAACTATTTAGAACCATATTTGGTAGAGAAAAATGGCATTTATTTACTAACAATATTTACTATACTAATGTTTATAATTCTAAGATCATCACCTTTTCTAGACTCCTTGATAAGTTTCCCTCTTGCTATAGGAATACAAAATAACTGGCTGGGGCTCTTCTGTCAGCTCCAAAAATAAGTTTTAAGGAACTTTGAGTATTTTAGGAGTATTTAAAATAGGAAAATATATCTACAATGAGTAAGACCAGCAACAATTGACACCTGAGCCTCAAAAATTTGTAATAGACGGCACACTGTATTTGGTTTCCTTCTATGTATTTTTTTTCCATCATTATCCTTGTTACACCTTTGTTAAAAAATACAACTAATAACACCTGGTAGACAACCACATGTGTAATACAGTATTTACATTAAAAGGCAAAAAAATATTAGCAGTCTAAGAAACTTATAACTATTATTACTATAAATAGGAAACACATTATTTGTTACATGGTAACTTTTTCCCTTTTCCTCAAGAAAGTAGAAAGTGCAAAACAGGTCACCCATAAGGCCAAAACCAGCAATTAATAATGCATTTTATTTATTTCCTGTACTTTTATGAAGTGTATTTACTTCATGTACTTCCACAGAGCTCTTATTTGTCTTGCAAGGCATTAGACTGACTTTCCTGAAGACAGAAAACTCGGATTTTCAGCAAACCAAGCTTTCCTTCTCTCCAGGATAAGGGGGGAGTTTGGGCAGACAAGTAGTTCAGCCTCAATATTTCTCATTCAAACCTGAGATCAAAGACATAAATGTTGCCTTGTGTGCCCACTGGAAGCTGACCTGCACTGAAAAGGCAGTGGCACTACATCTCAGTGCAGCAGCAGGTTGCAGTGATTATCCCATCTATCTTTAATGTTACCTTGAGTGCTTCCACATGTGCATTGCAGCTGACAGGAGTACAACAGGGCCATAAAGAGATTGTCAGTGATCATAAAAATCCAAATTTGACCTACTTACCCAGAGATGAGTATCATCTTATTTTTCAGCAGCAGAGACAGATTACACACCTTATCTATATAAACATGAAAGATAAAAATAACAGGAATTTGACAGGTGAGCTGAAAGGACTGCTATAAAATTTGGAGGAAAGTGAGAGAATGAAGACAGGGAAGAGATAGCCCTGTCTTGGCTTATGCCCTTCCTCCAGCACTGAACAGCCAAAATTCTCACTTAGTTTCACTCAGTTCAGGCAGTAGGACAGGAAGCCATATGGCAGGGGATTGGCTAAATGGTGCTTGTGAGGCTTTACTAACAGCATCTACCAAACGTGAACTTTATCTTCTTTTATGTGCCTGTCAGGTATAACATATTCCATATTGACATGACTGTTTATTCTTATCACATCACCAGATGAGTCACACTGATGGCACAACCATTCTGGTTCCAACAAGGTTAAAGTACAACTGGGCTATTTTTGTTTGTTTGTTGCACTAATTATTCCAGTCTATCCAAAATCATCAGGCCAGAGTACTAAGCTGCATATAACAGACCTAAACTTCCATCTGTTCAGCGTCTTGCCTTGCGTTTAGGAGTGCTCAGCAACTGGAAAGCCTGACAAGAACACTCATTCACCATTAAACTGGTCTCACCCTTTCAGAGAGAAGCATACAAATAGATGGAAAGCAGACTCACAGGTCGTAAAGAAAAGCATGAGTAACCAAGTCTTTTTTATAAATGAATCACACTTTTAAAGGCTTGCATGTAGGAGAGTTGTGACCTGTTTTGAGTTTTCCACTAGTAACTGCAAGATGAAAGTCTTGGGGAAACTTAATGAGACACTGTTTCTTACCAGTCCCTCTCCAGCAGGAATTTTCTTTCTAGCAAGGACTTTCTAGCCTAGCTTTTGTTTCAGAGACTAAAACCAAACAAAAATAAATGGAGCATCTGTGTTATGAGGACAGTTAGATCCTCAGAGGGGATTGCTCTGTTGCTGGAGAGCCTGAGCATCCAGATTAATATCAAAGGACTATGATTGCTGAAATACAGTTAGCTGAAAACAGATCCTTTTTCTATTTTTTTTCTTTCTTTTCTTGTGCAGAAAGATCCATTCAAGCATTCTGAGTAAAACAGCACTTTGATCTGTTTTGTGGACTTCTGTCACACACAAATCAGAGAGTTCCTGGTACTAGAAGATAAATTCCTCTGATCAGTGAAACTATTATTTTCACAGATAAAATTTTACACATTTATAAGAACATTAAACAGTATCATTTACTCATCATAATTCAATACAGTATGAGTATTCGTGATTGCATCATGAAAGAAAGAAGAAGTTGCAGTACTTAGGCAGAAGGAAAACTCTGCAGAACAAGTTTGAAGGGACAAACCAGAAGGAAGACTAGAAGGAAAATTAAGGAATAATTCACAGTTCTTTTGGTAAAAGATAGGAGGAGAAAAAAAATTCCATGTCATTGGGAGCCTTTTAGAGAACACAAATCAAGATGACTTCAAAATATATCTGGTCAGACTCTTAAAATTTCATTCTGCTGGGAATGTTTTCACTCTGAATCAAAAAGAAGACCCAGAAATTGTGAAGCCTTACCATGAGTATGGAATTTAGTCTGTCTCATTTCATTTCATCTTAATAACTCCTTCTACTGATTCAATTCCTAGCACCAATGAAAATCTATTAGCAGAGTTTCTGATCCTAGGAAAAAGCAAAAAAAATCCACTATTGATCTCTTAGGCTGTGATCCCTAAACTGCAGAACACTGCATTGACAACTACAACCACATCTAAGAGTGCTTAGACAGCTTTGTGAAGAAGGCAACCTAGAAATGAAGAGCAGATAAAGACAAAGCTAAGGATGCAAGAATCTTCACTGAGATCATGGAACTGGAATCAATCCTTCAAGTTCTCATTCAGGCTTCTGTGCTGGACACGTTCTTGAGTTTTTACAGTAACTTTAGGTAGTGCTACATGCAGAATCTACTGAGCAGAAAGAATGTGATTTTACTCACAGATTTACCAAATAAGACCTTGAACAAAGGAAAAGCACACAGTCTCCACAGAAAAATAGTACAACTCTCAGTGGCTTTGATAAATACAATATAATCATAATTTTTGTTGCAATGGCCTCAGAAGATACGATTAAGCAGCTTCAGATGAGCCATATTATTTAGAATCACATTTTGATTATGTGATTTACCCTCCCAGCTATCCAGGCTGCATAACATCAACTGTCTGTTTAACCAGAATGGACTACCTGATGATGGATACTTTTATACTGAGTGAAATTGACTGTGCAGCTGTTTAAAAACTGAAGACACTCAAGCGACTGCTTAAGCTATTATTGCTAGAGGTATTGCATTCTGAATCAAGCTCTAACTAGAAAAGAAATACCTTTCACATGATTTTCATGAAAAAATACACTGAGAAAGAGTTATTGGGTGAGTACCTCTAAAAATATGGTTTGTAAAAAATTAGTTAAAATTATACCATTTAAGTTGGTTTTGAATAACGTTTCTCCAGGGTTTACAGGTCTCTGTTGTGAATTATTCATAATGCCTATGTTGGAAACATATACATTATCTACCTGGAAAGAAAAAAAAGTATATTAAACACAGCAACAAGCCTACTATATTTAATCCTGTATTTAATAAATGGTCTTCTTCTAACCAGTAATGATCAAGGTGCTTTGACAACTTGGTTGTGTTATTGGCAGGAAGCAGAACTATTTTGAAACAAAACCAGTCTTTACTTAAAAGCATACATGTTAATTGATAATTCCCATATAAAAGAAATCAAAATTAAAAACTCTGTTTAATTTGCTAATTAAAAACAAACTGTGTATTTAATTTAGCAATACTATTTAGAGCACAAGTCCCTAAAAAAACCTCCAAACAAATGTTTATTTTATTACCTTCATATTCCTCACAGGAACATAATGATACAGAAGTCATTCCCCTACACTTTGATGTCAATTATGACCCTCCATTAATCACTCCATTTTACAAGTATTTTTGCATATGGGTAAACTGCACAATGCTGTTTATGTGGGAAAATGATAGTTTAAATAATAACAAAACAGCATTTTATAAAAGATATATTCTCTTGATTTGTTTTGCTGTCATGAAATAGCTGACCACACAGAAATATATGCACAGTTTGCCAAGTTACCTTCCCATTTTAGAAAATGTACCTATTATTCTTTTTGATTATTTCAATAACAAATAACTTTGCTTTTAACCTGAAGGGGTTATCTGGGGCTTAGATGAAAAAAAAAAAGAATTTCTGAAGCAGATCTGTAAATGTTTATTATTTGAATAACAAACACCTTTTTTTAGATTAAATAGTCTGGAGTATAAATAAAAATCTCGGACACAGGATCTACAAAAAACTAGTATTCTTGCCTGAAAAATACATATCTTAATTTCTTATTTTTTGAAGCCATGAATTCACTAAAACACAATACAATTATAAGTAATACATATTAAAGACAATATTGGTAATTTCAAGGTTGAAATTGATAAGTTTGAAAATTTGTCAAATTATCTATTTTTCTAATTTGAAATTTTCAAATTGTTTCTTACTGTTGACATGGTCTAACAGATGCAATGTGAACTATACAACACAATAAATGCTTTCACTGTGTACTTGGTCAAGGACCTTGGTCACATACTGTAACTTCAAATGGACAAAATGGAATCTAAGTAAGATTCAAATATCAATTTCTGCAAAAAAAAAATTAAAGAAATTTATAAAACTTGCACTTCCAATCTCATATATTATAAGAAAACAATAAAGTAATATTGTGCCCTGTCTGGGTTTTGGCTGGGATAGACTTAATTTTTTCATAGCAGCTGGTTCAATGCTGTGCTCCCAATTTAATATGAAAACAATTTTGCCAACACAAAACACTTTTTTTTTGGTTGTTGCTAAGTGGTGCTTACCCATAGTCAAGGACTTTTCAGTTTCCCATGCTCTGTCAGTGAGAGGCTGCACAAGGAGCTGGGGGAGCATGGCCAGGACAGCTGACCCGGACAGGCCAAAGGGATATCCCACAGCATGGGAGGGCACACTCGGGACAGGAACTGGGAGAGTCGGCTGGGAGGGGCCGATCACTGCTTGGGGATGGGCTGAGCATCCATCAGCAGGTGGTGAGCAACTGTGTCCTATTTCTTTTGGGTTTTGTTCCTCTCTCTCTTTCTTTCATTTTCATGACAATTATTATTAACAAATTTCAATTAAGTAATATTATTGTTTTCTCACTGTTATTATTACAATTAATGTTATTATAATTTTTCCCATTCTTAAACTGTTCTTGTCTAACTGGCAAATTTTGCTTTTTTTTCCCAATTCTCCTCCCTACCAGGGGAGCAGGCACAGAGTGGAGTCAGCAAGCATCTGCGTCTTAGTTTCAAACTGGGTTTTAACTACAACATGCAATATCTTTCTTCCTTTACAATCTTTTCACAATAATAACATGTATTAGTCTTTAATGTACAAAATTTGTAGGTTGCTAGTCAGTCCCAATTCAGTTTCAAGACTTTTACAATAAATGAGTTAATAATAAGCACATCACTGAATTTGGCTTGAATTAACATTTCATAGTGTGTTTAATTTGGTGCTACATTGACACAGTAAGATTTGCGAGAATGACAGATATCACAGACAACACTAATTCAGTTTTTCTTTCTTTCTATAGAAAGTATAAGAGTGACATTTTTTTGTGTTTTGGAGAGGAAAAATTAGCTGTTTAGAGACGTCAAACCTTTCAGCCTTGCAGTTTACTTTCCCACAAAGAACCAAAGCAGACTAAAAAACTGTTTAAAAATGAGATAAAATAATAAATCATGAGTTTTAACAGCTTTTCAGAAACACAAAAAATAGCTGCAATTTGGAACATAACATTAACAGTGCACTATTAACTCCCAGCTGCAGAACAGACAGATGGCAGCATACGGCCACACATTTGTGAAATGGAGTAGAATTTCAACACTGACCTTCTGAACCAGGGGTTCACAAAAATTCTACACAATCTATTCTTTGTATAGCCTCACAAAAACTGTCTCACCAAAGCTTCATGGGCTACCTACAGGGTAAAAAAAATTAACAAAAAAAAGAGTGTTCAGTGTTTTACTGGTACCTTTCGAAGAAAAAATACATGTTACAGAAAAGAAATTGCAAGAATAAATGCTAAACTAACATAAACCAAAATTGCTGTTTCTAATACCCCAGCAACTAAGCACACAGATATATTTGTTGTTATGTTTTTTAGTTCAATATCTCTCTGCATATGGTCTTATGAAAAACAGTTACAAATATAGATTAGCATATGGTTTTAGTTTGAATTGATACTTAAAGTGTTATTTTAAAGGGCTACATTAAAGGCTTATTTTAAGACTTTTGAGTGTTGCAAAACACACACAGCTTTCCATTAACTTCAGCACATCACACATCCAAATTAGAAATTATATTCATGCTGGTGTCTTTCCAAACAAGAAGGACATGCTAAGCATGTTTAGGAACATCATGAAAGACTATCAGTCTCCAGTAGAATTTTGGCAAGACTTCATCATTGATAACTGCTATGTAAGCAGAAACAATACTTAATGAACCAGAAAAACCACATTTCATTCCAACATCAGAACCCACATTGTTTAGAAATTACTTGAATATATGAGCTTCCCATATAAAACAGATGAACAGTAAAAAATTAAAATGTCAAAATTTAGGTCACAGCCCCCATACACCAAGGAAATATATCACTTCACATATCTTAACTGAAAAATTGCTCCCTTCTGACCTGCCCAAGAAGTTTATGCTGATATAATCAGACAGGAAGGATCTCTGCAGCAAGGGCTTCCTAGAAGAAGCTCTAAGGTACAGGAAGAATAAGGAGGGGAAAGAAATTTTCAAGCTTGTATTTCCTAAGTGTTGGACACACAGCTTCTTGCTAGCAAGTCAACAAAAAAGATCCCTGTTGTCACCAGGATATGAAAATGTAAAAGGTTTTCAGAGACACCAAGAACAAAGAAGGTACACAAGTCAATAACCATACGTTGTTTTAAGGCTTATTTCTTCAGGTTATCAGGAAAAATTATTTCACTCCTGTTTTTGCTTCCCTGCCCTCCTCACAGTGATTTTTTTAATATAAAGACTAATCTTAGCCAGATTTGATTTGATAAAAGTAAATCTGAGTGCAGGAGTCATTAGCAACCAGAGCATCTAGATGGGACAGGACTGCTAGAAATACTTGAAGTTTGTATCTCATTCAAAGGGGAAAATAATATATAAAGCCATAATATGTTAAGTTCTGTTGTTTCCAGTATTAAAAAGCCCAACTGGAAATGCCCTTGTGATGTTGATGTTAAACAGCTTCATTTATATATTGATCATGGTTTATATGACAATATGTATCTAAGTATTCATATAAAATAGGCGTATAATTTTTCAGATAGTTCAGATTTGTACACATAGAGTGCAAGATGAAACAGCCTGAGATCCCTCTTCTGAAAGGAAACTTTGCAAAAGGAAAGACAACTAGGAGTGCTGTTTTCAGTTCCATCTTCCGTTGGTTCTGGTTTCAGCTGAGTGACCTGGATGTTACTTAAGGCACTTAAGTCATCACTGTAAATATATTCTGGTTTATTTGCCATGGAAGAAAAGAGAAGAAAGACTATATGACCTGTTGCTACGGTTATGTAACAATTAAAAGGAAGAAAATTGGATTTCAAATCCACAGACTACAGTGGTTCGCAGCTACTAGGCTATTAAGGAAATTGTCTTTGGGAATAAAGCCATTCCATGTTTTTTGAATGTCGGGATTAAATTACTTTTATTCCTCAGGAATCTTCATTCTTAGACATTGTGCAACTGTTTCATGCTTGCATAAGTTTGGAATGGGTCCTGAGCTAATTAATTGTCATGGAGTCTTTTAAACTATCCAGTTGAATTTAATGCTAACTAAAGGCTTTGCCAATCTGTTTGCCAGAATAGAGGAAAAACACAGGTAGCAATGTCAGCAGCAGGATCCCTGTATCTCGTTTATTGATGGGCTGGTTATATCTTTTAGTTCATTCTTTTATCTTGTAATTTACAATATAGGAATCAAAAGAAAAAAGCAAAAGGCAAATCAAAATACTTCATCAAGTATTTTGCTTCTGAGTTCTGCTATCAAAGATGCCCTCCTAGAGTCAAAATTTTCAAAGGTAACTGCTGTTGCCTTCTGCTTCACTCTGATATGTAGCACAGCTAGTTTGCTTTTCAAAGCTTTTTCAGCTGAGCATGGGGCTCTGAAAGCTCTTCAAAAATAGCAGGGGAGTATTTTTCAGGCTGTCCTCTCCTACTGACAGAAGCATGCTTGGAAGAAATCAATCTTGGTGGCTACCCCAGTTTCCAGATTGGATATGGGTGACCAGTTCTATTCACATGAACCTCTCAAATCACTGTGACTTCTCTTTCCTCATCTTTTACATAGACAGAAATTCTGAACAGCAGGATAGGCAATTCAGACACACAGTGACATGAGTTTAGATGACAATAAGAATATAGCTGCACTTTTTCCAGTATTACTTTAAAGAGATAATACTGAGCCATTTACCACATAGCAGCACATTATCCAAAAGCAGTACACAGATTGATGTCTTCTATGGCTATTTCTATGCTAGAAGTAATTGTATCTTTATGAATTCTTGACTTTTACTATTGGCACAACCTTGGGGAGATAAGGCAGGCAAGGTAGAGTGGTAGGGAAGCCACATGTATATCCAGAATTGTAGAGGAGTTGGCATGGCCATACACAGAGGTGAAATAATGTGACAGAACAGAAAGAAATCTAAAGCTAGTAGAGCATTAGTTGAATTAGTCATCAAAATTATTCACAGTCTTCCCTATTTCAATCAGTATATCCGTGATAAATTCCAGTTAATGAAGGGCAGAAAGATGCACAGATTTTTTACAACAAAGCTTATAGATTCACTTCCCAAATACCCTTTCTTCAGGCTAGTTGCACAAACACAGTGCATAAGGTGACACTGGATAGAGCTTGAATTCTGTAGCGTACATCTGATAAAGTGCACAATATAAGAAAACATTTCAACATTACTCAGCTGGCTGCTACATTATGGCTGCCAATGAGATAAATTAATGCACTGGATTACATTTGTAGTCCTTATTTATTTAGCTAGATTTAGAATCCCCCTCTCTTAATCCTCCTTTAAAGTAATCCCCTTTTATGTAGTCATTTTAATTGTATATCTTGCTGATGCCTGTTTTTTGTTTAACATAGCAATCAAAAAAAAGCAACATGTAAGCAACAGCACAGAAAGACTATTTCACAAAAGACTATTTTGAAACATACTACTGAAAATCTTTCATTTTTTATGGTGTAACTATCATGTAATTCCTGCATGAAGATTGAAGCAGCCTCTATATGCTCTGTTATGTGAATTACCCAAATTCTTTTAGAAGGTCAGTGGTTCAGAATGATAACACTGCAATATCTGTGCTTAACTTCTATGGCCAACCATAAAAATGTTCAAATACAGTATATTTTAAAGTAATTATGCTAATGTGTTAGAGAAGTAGGTAACATTACCTAAGAGCTGTATCAAATCCACGAAGTTGGGTCTGCACCTAAGCCACCAGACTTTGAAATCTCAGAGGCCTTTTCCTTGAGTTTGATGGATGACCATGGCTGCAGTGGCAGGATACACCAGCTGCCTGAGCAGCATTCCAAAGAGGGAGTTCAACTGGAGCACAAACACCTCTTGGAAGTACTGTATTACCTGCATCAAAATTAAAATGCTGCTTTCTGCCTGATTTTTTTTTCCCTGTGGCCATTTTTTAAGAGTAGTAACATTTTTGGAGAGAAGCAATATTACATAAACTTTAAAGAACTTTTGTCCCACGGGTTGTTTTGGGTACTTGAATATATCTTATTCGCTTCTTACTATTCCTACTTGAGGACATTTCATTATCTGCCTGGCCATGGTGAAACACTGCTGCCACGTTTTGAAATTGTCCTCACTGCATGCATCTTCCTCTATTGGTTCATGGCTAAAGCATTTGTACTTGAATAACAGTATGAGTCCCACATCTATACTCATGAATGAAAGCACAATGGTACACTATCTCTGTCACCATTTTCTTCTTCTTTGGTAGCAGAAATGATCATAAACTAAGGACAAAAACAATTACATCACTTATTACTGCCTGAAGAAGTGAGGCAGAATGAAGACTGATTTCCTTCCAGTGGTGCTAGAAATTTTACATAATATCATTTTAAAATCATAGAATCACCAAGCAAGTTTCATTCTTCTGTCTATGTCAGCTTTTTCAGGCTGAAAGCTATTTTTACAACTGAGTGTAAGTGAAGAGGTTGAGTGATGATGATTGTAGATGAATCTGTAGACAGAATAACAGATAAATGCACTTTTCCTGACTGAATAGTCACCCATAGTATTTGGCTGTATTTTGCTTTATATCCCCTCAAAGGATTTCATATAGCTACACTAGAATAAATTTTTTTTGTCTGCTTTCCTATAATAGGCTGACAGTCTCCTCATGCACTTGGAAACAGTTCAAAACTGACCTAAAATTTTCAAAATATATGACAAAATTATGTGTATTTGACTATTTTTTCAGCGAATAAGATGATTTTATTTGAATATTATAGAAACTTAGAATGCTATAAATAGTTAAAATTTGGTGGAGAAGAACTTATTTTTATATCCGAGCATTTTTACTCCATCTCTCTTTAATAGAAGAAATATTTTCCCTAGGATAAAACTTTTTAGCCTGCAAAGCATATTCAAGATTGTTTTTTTTTGTTTCAAGTTTGGAAACAAACAATACTGTGTAAGCCATCCTTATCTTTCAAAGTTCAGTCTGTTATCCTGGATAATTATATTATTCTGATCCTCATACTTTCTAAGAATCTGTTTAAAATTAAAAGCAGTAATAGAAAATTCATTAGAAAAATAGCATAGTGAAAATTCAGTTTGAAAAACTATTGAGATACTCTCTTAATTTTCTATGCATTTATTTTTGTAATTATTATTCTCCTAGCTTTATAGCTTGGCAGTTATGGAAATAGTGTAATTACTATTAGTATCCAATAAAATATTTTAAAGTACTTTTATAAAACTGAAAATCATCTAGTTTGTACCTCAAAAATTTGCAATGGAAAATCAAGAATGAAGCCTGTGATTCAGAAGTTACTTAGTATTCCCTTGTGATGTTTTGGCTATCAGCATGAAATACTTCCAAATCACTAAAGGAATTTCATAGTTCTTTTGCAAAAGTGCATATTTTCAGTTCAAAGATTTAGCATATTTGTGAACAGTGGTAATTGAAAATTAATTTCATATCTAGTATTGTCTGTGTCTTAACCTTAAAGTAATGGCTATTGATACAAGAGCTGTAGGACATATGAAGAAATTAAGCTAATATTTTTAGGTGCTGGTTTGGGCTGCGGTTCATAACTGTATTTCTCTAAAAAAACAAAAAAATAATTACTTCTTGCTGCAATCAGCATATATTTTCCATCCTGAATAAGAAGCCCCATTTTAATTTAACTTTTTTGTGAGTATTATCCACACACCTTCCCACAGGTTTAAATAAAATAATAACTTTTCACATCAAAAGTCAATGTAAGGTTTTGTACCAGTGTAACCCCACATGGTTATGATTAATGACCTGCCCGTGGCATTTTCATAAGGGTTGGAATTTCAATGTATAAGTTAAAATATTGGTCCCACTAAAATCAATAATACAATTCCCACTGGCTTAAGATGTTTAAGAATTTCACCCACTGCCCTTTGCTTCACATTGTTGTCGATTATTCATTTGGAGATTATATGAGAGATTAAAAAATCTTTTTCTTTATCTATTCATAATGTTTTAGATAAGCTGTAAACAGCTGTTGGTTGTTTCTTTATCTTATGTAAGTAGACACAAAGAAATCTGACTTTCAAGTATCTGTCAAAATCACATAAAAGCAACCCACTGAGTTAATGCTTCTCTTTTAAGACTGTATAGATACATACAGAAATATATATCCAATTTTCAGTAATTATGTATTCATATATTTGATTGTGCAGTGATGTGAAGATTAGAAATTTAAATTTGTTTTAAGCCTGAAAATTCTTTAAATGCTCTTCTAGAAACCACAGATAGAAAATATTTTCAGTTCTTAAATAAATCATGGTTCAATCACTCTTCTGCATCTAGTAAATATGGATGTGTAAGTAAAAATAAATGTAACACTAAGTAAGTGGTAAGAAATACAGAGCAGACAAAAAAAGCTTTTTCATGTATTCTTTCCTTTGGCCCACTGTGTGATGTCAGTGTTGCAGAGACAAAAGCAGAGCTGTACGAATAAAGCAGCTTTCTCTGGCACCAGTATTTTCCTCTTGCTTGTCAGCATGGTTCTAATGCTCACTCTCTATCACAACATGGGCACCCAAATACACAAATTATGGAAAAAAAATCAGCATCAACTTGATTCAAAGTTACTACCTGATATATATCCACAAAGCACTTTGTCTTCAGGTGTTTCTGTGCCATTGGATCCTCATACTCATATTTGCTTCCAATAACTGTACTGCATTTCAGAGGGTTCCACTTCATGGGCCACTGTGTCCTACTAAGTAAAACGTCTTATTACAAAAGAGATTGCCAAATACATGAAAAAAAAAAAAATAGAAAAAAAAATAGCAATAAAACTGTATAACATACTACACATTCCAAACTGCAAAATTGTTTTTGGTTATGTTTTAGCCATCTAAAGAGAATGCAGGCAATTAGATAAAGCTTTGATGTCATAGAGAAGACTGATCCTAAACTATGCAATACTGTAAAACAAGTGCTCAGTAGCATCAGAGCACTAAATTCTTTGACTTCACTGACCCTCAGCAGCATTACTAACATATCTATTGTTGTCCCTAGTAAATCAGGAATGACTGGTTCTGTGCTGCCATCAGATGAAAGGTACCAGAGCTGCAGAAGAGATTTTTACTTCAACAGCCTGATTATTCCAGGATTTGAATTCTTGTTCTTCCCAATGAAATGCTGAATTTGTCAAGAGAAAATAGTGCCAAATGATAGGCAAAAATTTCTGAATGTACAGGTGCAGTTGACCTAGACTAGCAAAACATGCAAACAATAATTTGTAACTGTAGCTATCACATAAAGTAGATTAGCAGCTGATATTGTAGAAAGGCATACTAGAATCCTGACAGCAAGGAGTTTTTCAGAATTACATTTTATGCTTTTACTTGCAAGAAGTATGAACACAGAGATAAAAAGCTGGCATGTTTCATCTTCCCTCTCCTCTGGTCACGTCTAATGGAATTCTGGCTATCAATAAAACAAAAGGGTGATTGCATGTTGACACTCTTCTTGTGAAAGTGAATAATAAAACAGAAAACCTTCATATTTGATCATGGTCCAAGAGATACTACTCCTGTGTTTTATGTTAAATTAATATTTGATGTAATTCCATTTAAAAATTGGAGTTATACACTATCATTTGGTAATAATAATTTCATTTCAATTTGATTAGATGTGCTTCAGCTTATTGTCATATTCATTAACTACATTCACTGCCACAGGAGTGTAATGTTAATCTGTTTGTTTGGATTAATTTCCCCCAGTCAGCCAACTGGGCAGAACTGCTCTTTCTGGGTTTTACAGATACATAATGTCTACTTCTAAATCAAGAGTGTGAACTTGAAATTACTGTCTGCTGTAAACATAGGTATAGAAAAACTGAAGTTCCAATGAAGTGCCAGGCTGATAATGCTTACCATTACTTATCTTGATTCACTAATTGGTTTTCTGACCTTACATATCTTTAAAAGGCAGCTGGGCTTTTAAAATACTGTAACTTTTCATAAGCTGATGAATAACACTGAGATTTAGGGCCTCCCAGCAAACACTCCTGCCATGATCCAATTCTCAATAGAACACATTTACAATATTTACCCCTTAATTTTATTTTTTTTTTCTGCTATACATTGTTTGTGAAAATCCTCAAGACTCCCAGGAGCATTCTTTTCCTACACTTCTATAATCACATGAGGATCTCACCCTTCAGCTTTTCTTCTGCAACTGAAGCAAATAGGGCTTTTGATTGTAAGGACATGGGGTATTTGCATCACAAATTACGCCAGTGATTTTTTAAAGTCAAAATATGATTAAAACTGGTCAGAGGATAACCTTATCTCCTTCTTTTGAGATCTTCTGCTTGAATTAGTTTTGATTCCTAATACAGACTGACATAAAAATTGAAGTTAAATATTGTACCCATCTACATATCCAGATGTGAATCCAGGGCTAATCAAGATTAAGTACTGAATTACAGGCTTGAAATATCACATGCCTGGGTAAAGGAGCACTGTAAAGAGAGCTTCATGTGTATTGTTGTCTAAGATCTTAAATGCTCAAATCAGTATCTTGTTCATAAAACAGTACTTGTTCATTATGAACAAGCCACGATCTTACCACAGGGCCAGTCTGAAGCATTCTCGAAACAAGAGCCACCACTTCAATGCAGACTACCTTAAACATAGGTTTTTCTGTGTTGAACTGAGAAAAAAAAGCACAGAAAATATAAACAAAGGATGTTTGGATAAAAATATATGCTTAAAAATAATAAATATATTTGGATAAAAATAAATGCTTATTGAAAAAGCTGAACATCAAAACTATTCTTGTGAGTTCTTGCTTGAAAAGGAATTAATCCTGAGCCTGTAAAAAACACTTTAAATTTTATGATAATTATTTTAAGCACAAAATGCTAATAAGAAATGTTAAAAAAAACCCAATCAAAAATAAACATAAACATGCAAATTATCTATTGATAATTTATATTTTAATTATAAATTGACTTTACTAGACTGTAATCTGATATTTACAGAGAATAGCAACATAGGGCTCATTACTTTTATTACAAAGCAGCAGCTACATAAACTTTTTACTGGCATGGGCATTTGCCCCTAATAGGGCCAGGGAGTAGTGGTTCCCTTTCGCCATTAAAGTACAATCTCAATTTCTGAATTTAAATTACTCTTCTCTATTATAATCTTTCAGTTCTACTATTCAGGTACTTGAATGTGATTTGAAAATATACTTAGATGTCTGAACATCTGGAAATAAAGATTTTCATTGCCATTGTATGGCAGTGCGCACATTTTGTTTTTCAGAACAAAAAATACACAGCTAGAGCTGGCATGTCCAATTTTAAACAAAGGCATCAAACACCTTGTTAATAAAGGGATCATCAGAACTCCAGATCTGCTGCAACCATTTTTATCAGAAGCCATCACACCACCAGTGATATTTTGCTTCCACTGGGAAGATCTGCTACTCAACCAGGAAAAACAGCAGTTTCTGTCTGTTTCTTGTAGTTGTTTCTGCATTTATCTAAATTCAAATTGCAAAGTATGCTAGGTCTGACCTCTCATAGTTTCCACAGAATAGGGCCAGAACAGTTCTAGCCCTATTCTTGCCCCAAGAATATCCCTCTAGGGATCTTACCAAATAAACATTGATCGGAACTCTTACTTAGAATGATATCCTATCTAATAAATTATTTCATTATATAGAATAGATCAAGCATAGTAGAAAAGTTCTTTACAAACCAACATTCAGTGAAAGTAGATAAGGGGAAGAAAAATAATGGCAAAATCTGTAGGGCTTTCAGTGAGAGCAAACAAGAATTCATTCAAATTCTTAATCTAGCCTTAACCTATTCCATGTAGTGTCTAAGAAGGGAGTGGGAAAGAATGGGTCAATTGACTCCAAGGATATACATTAAGGAAAAAATTATCCACACTCATTAGGTCTTTTAGCACTGAGAATAATATAATTTTTTAATATATGACTTGCTATTTAGATTGAAATTAGTTGTCTCCTTCCCCTTGCAAAAGATTCACCCTGGAGACTGCAAAAGAAAACCCAGCTATTTCTTTCTGTCCTACACACTTTAAGCCCACTGACCAATGTGGCAGAAAGACTACTAACAGTACATGTGAATTCATAGTAGTGCTTGACATTTTTTACTGGTTTTAGCATCAGACAGAAATTTAACTCCAAATAATCCACTCCCCTTCTCTCACCCTTTCTGGTAAAGCAGGGACAAAAAACAGAGAAAATGAGTTGGGGTCACAATTTACTGAAAGCACAAAGCAAGGATAAGACACACAATTACAGCAGCGATATTAACACAGCAAAACCTTACAAAAAGAGGAGGTGTTTTAACCCCAAAAAGGTGTTTACCACTGGGAATGAAAATTCTGTGGGGTCACCATCTTCCTACCACTCCCCTGTGTGCCCTCCAGTTCATCTGGGGTCCCTCTTGGCTCAGCTGCTACCATCAGCACTGCTCCTGTTCCCTTCGTGATTGCAAAAGTCAGGCCCATCCTGCACATCGAGTCCTGTCTTCTATCTACACTTTGAAAAATACATTTTGTTGCATAAAGGTTCTGAACAGCAACTGTGCAATTTATTAAAGCGTGGAAAGAAGTATCTGAAACCAGCAACTGGTTCATTTTAATCATTTGTCAAGATATAGAAAGGCTACAGAGCCTCTTTAAAAATGAGGTTCATGTCCTGTAAAGTCGGATAAGGATCTTTGCTGTTGTGCTTTGCTTTCCAAGTTTGTTCTGTGTAGCCAACATCAAGCAGTGTCTCATGCTGTTGGGTTCTGAGTAACAGGCTGAAATATTAACATGTGGAAAAGTCAAACCTTCAAGAAAAATTTAAACATCTTAAGGACTCTTGTCTCATGTCACTTTCTCGGCTATTCTGTATCTTACAAAAAAGTGTCACTTTGATATTTTATGTTGTTTCTTACATCTGTATCTTTAAAATTTCAGAGATGTATGAAAAGTAATGCACAATGATCCGATAGACATCTGCCAAGCCCAGACAGACCAGAAGCAATGGCTTCCTGTGGCTGGTTTGGGACAGGGTGATTAATCAGACACTCTCTTTTGCTCAGACCTTCGGTAGAATTCTCGAGAAGAAAGTTTGAAGGTTACAGCTGCTTGTTCATCCTCAGCCAGATTCAGGTCTCTTAAAATTCAGCACAGTCCTATATGCAGAACAGAGAACACCATCAATGTAATGCAGATTCTAGGAAGAGAGCAGCCATATTTTTCTAGTAACAATTTGACAAATATGTTGCAAAACTAATTACAACACTTGAGCCAATATTCTATCATCAGGTTTCAAATGTAGGATTTTTAGTTATTCCTCACTGGGAAAGCTTTTAAAATATTATTTGACATATCTTATTGTATCTTTCATTTTATACAGTCTCTTTTTAACTTGCTGGTATTGTTGCAGACATAAATCATAAAGTGTATTTGCACTGTATTAGGGGTCTATTTTTTTTTTACATGCAAGATGGAACAAAATGCTTTAATTCTAAAAAATTTAGCTATTCAAAATGTGACTCATGAAGCTCTTAAGCACTTCAAAATACTGCTAATGAGGCTGTCATTCAGTCACGTATTTGGGCATACCTCTAATTTTGAATGTGGACTCATGGAACCCAACTCTTGCTTGAAGATAACAATGAGATTCAGGACCTTGCTGGATCAGAACCCAAAAAAGGTTCGTTTCAATCTACAGGAGCAGCCATTAAAAAGATGGCTAGTCTAAGCCACCTACAAACTAGAGATTTAATGTATTTACATCTGTTCTGTTCTTCATGCACCTGGAGAAAAATAATCCTCAAGACAAAGATTCCAGCATATTAGAGCCCAAAACCGTATGTTACTAGTCTAGTCATACTTAAATTTAGAGGTAGAAACAGGAAAAGTATCTGTGTTCTCAGTATCTGTTAAATACTCCATCTCCTTTCCTGTTATCCTCCCCTTCCATTTCTTTTCTCTCCTGTCACTTCCTCCCACCCCTTTCTCCTGCAAAATCATGAAATGAAAAATATACAGAAAGGTCAAGGACAGAGAGTTTTGTTACTGATACATAGAAAGGGCTTACACAGTTAAGTAATGACAAGTTTAGTCTGGAGTCATCCAGCTACATTCTCTTTTCTAAAACAGAAAAAGATAAAGCATTCACTAGAAAATACCTCCTATGGCCTTAGTATATCCCTTTGGTGACAGGCTATTAAAGCAGTGTAATTTACTACCCTTTGTCTCACTAAACACTTGTTTCACATCTATCAAACCATTCAGTGTTACTTCCTCTTTCATATAATAATTAGTATTCCTAGAAAAAATAATTTATTGCTAATTAGGATAATTATTGCTAATTATACTACACTAACTGTGTAGTATATGCCACAGTCAAAAAAACCCAAAAAATCAACACAACATTTTCTGGATATTTTATTTCTTTTGGGGCAGTGTTTGCCTCCGTTTCTTTTACTGCAGCTCTACCCACAGACTTTGCACTCAAACCATCATGACTGCCACATTCACAGTGTTGCTCTCTAAATGCCTTTTCTTCTTTTGTCAGTGTCCCTGTGTTCTTTAAGGGATCTAATTGATCAGAAGACAATAGAGCTGACACTTTAATTCAGCACTATCCAGTGTATGCTTCTGCAACTCCTTGAAGTGCACTGAAATTCCAGAACACCCTACTTTTGATTAAAAAGTTGACTCTAAAAATATCTAGGTTTTTCTTGGTCTCAAGTTTTGAATGTATTTGAAAACAGGAAAGGGAAGAAAGGAAATATTAGTTTAAAGAAACCACACACTTTCAAACCAATATTATTGTTAGCCATACCACAAAAGGAATAAAAGGAATTTAAGGGAGAGTTTTGAATGAAAGAAGGATCAAATATTCACATTCTCCACAAGGGAACTTTCCAATTCTACCTAACTACAAAATCATACATGATAAAACCACCCTCTTAATCAGGCCAGGATCTGAAGGGGGAAAAAAAAAAGAGAAAAAAGTAAAAAAGAAAAAAAGTGTTAGCAAGCTGAGCAGCTTTTGTCAAGGTGAAAAAAAGCTTCATATGGTCCGAGGAGCCTCAAACTCTGCAATTGTCAGGAAATTGTCAGGTAATATCTCCTGTGACACAGATGTATTGAGGAACATGAGAGCGGGGAATAGCCATTTATGATAAATGAAGTCTTAATCCAATTCCATATGAAATTAACAATGAAATCACAATTTCTTTTAATGCTGAAGGAAAGCTTCCACACACAACTTAGTCTGTGAAGTTCTCCTCAACTGTATATATGTAAAATTTTACAGTACTACTCCTTCAGACTTCCAAATACATAGCATAATACATAATCTATATAGACTTATATAGACTAGCATAATACATAACTTATATAGACTTAGTAGAATATATGAAAATATTTATATATCAAAAGCATGTGACATCAAATAAAGCCATCTTTGGTTGAATGTTTCATCTCTATTAATATGTGTTGTTCATTATAAACCTACTCAAATTTCCCATATTGATGCCTTTGCAATGTATGTCTTTTTCTAAATGAAAATTTTCTCCCAATCTCAGGTATATTTTAATGTCATGTGCAGAACTTCACATGATTCCTTCCACAGTTTCATGAGTCAAATTAAGGTATTTATTAATGCCTGCTAAGAAGGTAATTCCAATACAGTGGAATTACCATATTTTATTTTGGGAATGAGAAAGATCCCAACTGTAAAACTTTCTCTGTCCCTGGAGCAACAGGACTGAATCATTACCCTGGAGAACTCAATCCAGAATTTTTAATTCTGCAGGGACACAATGTCTTTAGGCATTCAGATTCATTAATTAATAAAAATAGAATCTGGGCTATCACCTGACCTTGACAGCAGAAGTTCTTCATTTTGTATCTATTTCTCAGATTGCTGCTATCACATTGAATTAATCTGCAATTCTTATTGCAGTTTCAGCAGCACTTATCATGGACTGTATACAGTCAGTACATCATATTAATTTTCTCTAAACAGAAGGTTTTTCCTGAGAAAACTATAGTAATGTAAACTATACTGCTTCATACACTAATTTTTTTTAGAAGATTTGAAATACTGAAAGAACTACCTGGGACGTTGTAATTAATCCTGAAAGCATGAAAACAGGAGACAAAACACTTGGCAGCATTTTTAAAAAAACAAGATATAATCAGATTTGAAAGACAAAAACCCTTGGATGTCCTCTGTGTATGTCTGCTCTGACATAGAATGTGCATTTGTTGAAAACTATTACTGGTGTCACTAGACTGTCTTGTCTGAAAAAGTACGCTGTCCTGTACTGTTTTATTTACAAATGTTGTTTATGAAGTGTTGTCAGTGGAATGCTTGAATAATACTGTAGATGTACTGAATATGAAATTGCTCTGTCACTGGAGAAAATGGCAGCAATGATACCAAGTCATTAAAATAACGTGCTGGTTTCAAGTAAGGTACAGGGCACACTCAGGGCCATATATTGTTTTTAATGAAGATTTCAATGTCATCAATAAATAATAAGATATTAAATCTTAAACTCACTCTAAGGTATATAGTACCTGTTTTTAAAAATTAATGAATTGAGCACAGAATTGTGGCACAGTTGAAGTAAATTTCAGGAGGAAGAGGATTTGCGCTGATGTGCTGGACTAGGCCTTGAATGATCTTGGATCCATTCCCAGTTCTGTCCTCAGCTTCATCTAGAGCCACATAAGCTTCTTTAGACAACACTGCAAAGCTGTTTAGATGTTTTAAGAGGCACAGAGGTGTCTGCTAGGATTTTGAAAACACTTAACTACACTTGGCAATTATATCATCTGAAATTTGGAGACCCAATCTCAAATGTGGCCTGTACACAAATGATAAAGAGCATAAAGTCCTTGTTCAGACAATACTTTAGCTAAGTCTCAAATTGATCATCACACCTCAGCAACTGAATCAAAGAGTTAAGTCAATACCTCCTCACTGCTGGGGACAGTTCGCTTTCCATACTGGACAGAATTTAAATTCCTGTGATTTAGGGTGATTAGCCATCCCACGGTGACTAAGTAGAAAATTTTGAATGGATACATGACCTTTGGTTACCAGAATAAAACCCATCATTTAGCCACAGATAGGAATTTCTGGTTGAGGTTTCTACATATTTTTTTTTTCCCTCAGTATTGCTAGGGAATAAATGTATTAATGTCCTCTGAAGATATTCTAACTGGATCAGACAGTGTCATAAGAAAATCTTGAGCAGAATCATTTGTCATGTGGAAGCTAGACATATTCACAGAGAAAATGTGTAAATAATTGTGAGTTCACAAAAATTTTCATTTTACTGTTTATTCACATGAAGATTCTAATTAGTACAAATCACTAAAGCCCAAATCACTAAAATCCACTGACAATAAGACTCTTTTACGTTCCTGAACCTTTGCTAGTGAAGCAATTTAAAATTAATCTGCATGGCAAAACAGATAGAAGTTATACTCTAACCTAAAATCTGTTACACCCTAGAACATAAGGTCCATAAGAGGGAGTAATTCCTAGAGGGAATTTTTTTTTTTTTCAAGTGGGAATGATGTGCAAGTTAACCCTCAGGACATGAAGACAAGATATCTTAGCTCCTTTAATTCAAGACTTTCAATATAGCCAATGCACTGAGCTACAACTGGAAGTAAAAAAGAGTATAAGAACAGCAGAAGATAGAAATTACTATTGTTGATATGATAAGATCAGGATGACTAAATCCAGTGAACAAACACACTGACGTTGATGTACTGGGTGTTTTCCAAGAATTAGGGAAACATCAAGGTTTGAAGAGAACTCTGGAGACCACCTGTTCCAACCTCCTGCTGACAAGGCAGGGTCACCTAAAACAGGTTACACAGGAACATGTCTGGGTGGGTTTGGAATGTCTCCAGAGAGGGTCCATGTCCTCCCTGGGCATCCTGTTCCAGTGTTTTGCCACCTACAAAGTAAAAAAGTTCTTCCACGTGTTGAGGCAGAATTTCTTGTGTTTTAGTTTATGGGCATTTCTCCTCATTGTGCTACTGGGCACCACTAAAAAGAGATTGACACCATGGTCTTGGCACCCCTTTGAGATATTCACATGCATCAATGAGATCTCCTTTCAGTCTTCTCCAGACTAAACAGGCCCAGCTC